TGTCCGCGCTTCCACCAGCCTGCCGCCGCTGGTCCAGGGCCCGCCGCGCTGCTTCCTCCGCTGCACCGTCTCCCGAGTTCTCTGGACGGGCCCCAAGCCGCCCCCCACCTTTGTCCGCCTCAGGTGGTGGGGGGAAACCTCCGAAGGGACCGTTTTCCAGCTCCCCGGGAGAACCACGGCCCGCTACGCCGTCCGCTGTGGGCCCGGGCAGTTTGCTGCCTACCTGACAGGTAAAGCTCCTTCGCCCTGGGCTGGCAGACAGGGTCAGAGCTCAGCGAGAGCCCCAAAACTCGAGGAGTTCTTTACACACCAAGGAACCTCAGGCTTGTTTGCATTTATGACTTTTTTTGTCGTTTTCCTGATTTGTGAGGGTTTTGATCTCAGTGCAGAATTGTTGGTTTCAGCCTCTCTAGCAGGCAGGTTGAGTGCTCAGGGCTACAAACTATTGCTGGCTCCTGTAGTCCTCACAGTGTCAAGATTGGGTAATTTTTAGTATTCTCCCTTTCATATGTGCAGCAGGGTGATGGAGGGGATCTCTGGGGAGACCCCCCTGCAGTGCTGGGGCAGCTCTGGAGTCCTCAGCACAGCAGAGACAGGGACCTGCTGGAGCGGGGCCAGAGGAGCCCCAGCAATGACCCGAGGGGGGAACCCCTCTGCTGGGAGCCCAGCAGGAGAGAGTTGGGCTTGGGCAGCCTGCAGAGGAGAAGGCTCCAGCTGGGGAGACCTTCTGGGGGCCTGACAGGACTTCCAGAACAGTGTAAACCTCTCCTCCTTCTGTTGAAAACCATCACCCCTTGTACGATTTTAGTAGCCTTTTTGTCATAATCTTATACTTCATAATTTGCTATTTAATTAGTTATTGACATTCATCATTCCCTATTGAAACAACACTTCTTCATCTGCTGCCTCGTTATAATTGCACAATATAACTTTATGTTAAACTCTCACATCTCTGTCATTTTAATAAAACAGGTTTAATTGTGTTTAATTTTGACCTTGTTGTGTGAGACTGAAATGAAGCTGTTCCTAATTTTCCAGATATGGGTGTGCTTGTCCTGGAGGTCATGACCAAACCTGACCATCTTCCAATTGGCAGAGTGCAAATCACTGGACTGTCCCAGCTCTCTCCCAGCAAACCAATAAATGGATTTTTCAACATAGTTTCACCAACATCTGATAAACTAGGAGAGCTGCAGGTAACTCTCACATTTTTGCTCTTATAAATTCTATGGATGTGACAATTACCAGTATAATCAGGTGCCAGGATCAGGCTATACTGGGTACACTGGAGCCCTGGTCTCTGTCTGAGGCTTTTGTGAACTAAAGCAGGAATTAAAAAATGAATATTGACAGTGTTGTTTCTGTTCAGGAGGATGTGTCATGTTAATAGTTAAGCATGATGAAGAAAATTTGCAGTCTCTACACTCACTCTGAGTTTTAACTGTGGATTTTAAAATAGTTGAAGCACTTCTGCAGAGCCTCATGGGACTGAGGAGATAGAGGCACTCTCAGTGAGTTTGCAGATGACACCACGTTGAGTGGAAACGTTGGGCTCCTGGAGGGTCAGAGCCTCTGCAGGGGGATCTGGCCAGGCTGGATTGATGGGCCGAGGCTGGATGAGGTTTAAGCAGGCCGAGGGACAAATCCTGCCCTTGGGTCACAACCACCCCCTGCAGCGCTCCAGGCTGGGGCAGAGGGGCTGGAAAGTGCCCCAGGGAAAGGACCTGGAGGGTCGGTGGACAGGCGGCTGGAGAGGAGGCAGCGTGTGCCCAGGGGGCCAAGAAGGCCACCAGCATCCTGGCTTGGGTCAGCACCAGTGTGGCCAGCAGGAGCAGGGCAGGGATTGTCCCTGTGGACTGAGCACTGAGGAGGGTGCCCCTGGAATCCTGGGGTCAGTTTTGGGCCCCTCCCTCCCAGAAGGCCCTTGAGGGGCTGGAGCGTGGCCAGAGGAGGGCGACAAAGCTGCTGGGGAAGGGTCTAGAGCCCAAGTGTGGTGAGGAGCAGCTGAGGGAGCTGGGGGTGCTGAGCCTGGAGCTGTGGAGGCTGAGGGGAGACCTTCTGGCTCTCCACATCTCCCTGACAGGAGGCTGGAGCCAGGTGGGGGTTGGGCTCTTCTCCCAAGGAACAATGGACAGCACAAGAGGAAAGGGCCTCAAGTTGCACCAGGGGAGCTTTAAGTTGGACCTGAAGATCAGTTTCTTGCCCTGGAGGGTTGTCCAGGGCTGTGCCAGGCTGCCCAGGGCAGTGGTGGAGTCCCCATCCCTGGAGGGGTTTCCAAGCCATGGAGATGTTGTGCTGAGGGACATGGGTCAGTGGGGACCAGGCAGTGCTGGGGGATGGTTGGACTTGATGACCTTAAAGGTCTCTTCCAAGCAAAATGATTTCTATGAAACAAGGTTTTTGAACTGTGGGGTGAAGAGGGTGGAATTCTGTTTCACAGCCCTGGCTCTGGACGATTTATGCTGGAAGATAATTGGCTGTGATTTGGAAGGGAGCAATGTGAAGCAGGGAGCTGTCACTGTGTCAGAGTTTCACGAGAGTGCACTGGTGCATGGTAGAAATATTGCTCTGCAGAGAAAAGTGTGTCATATGAGTTGAATATTGTTTGTGTCTTAATTAAGAAGGAAATACAGTTCTCAGTTCTGTCTTTCAGGTCTCGCTCGTTCTAGAACCTCTGCCAGAAGTGTACGACACCAGCAGCTCTGTCCCGACCACGGATGGGAGTTTAGATATGGCTCCTGCCCAGGGAGGCACCAAGCCTCAGCTTCAGGCTTCCTCACAGCAGGCCAGGCAGCCACGGGTGGCTGTTGATGACCAAGAGGCTGATAACAAGAGCAGAGCCACGACTCCCAGGTATCTTTGGAGTGGGTCCAGGGGAGGTCACAGAAAGCATCAGAGGGCTGTGAGGACAGGCTGAGAGAGCTGGGGTTTTTGAGCCTGGAGAAGGCTCTGGGGACACCTGGTGGCCTTCCATATCTGAAGGGACCTGTAGGGAAGCTGGGCAAGGACTGGTCACAGGGGCTTCTAGTGACAGAATGAGGGAGGATGGTTGTAGATTAGAGCAGGGGAGATTTAGATGAAACATTAGGAAGAAGTTCTTGGCTCTGAGACACTGACCCAGGTTGCCCAGAGAGGTGGTGGAGGCCCCATCCCTGGAGACATTCAGAGTCAGGCTTGATGGGGCTCTGAGCAACCTGCTTTAGTTGGGGATGTCCCTGCTCCCTGCAGGGGGGTTGAACTAGATAACTTTTAAAGGTCACTCCCAACACAAAGCATTCCATCATTCACCTTGTGACAAAATTCTGCTTTATTTAGCAGTTTACACGTCTTTTTTTTAATTTGTGGCTGTATTCATGGGACTTGTGGGATACTTCATCTTTTTTTAGTTCAAATTATGCTGCTTGACACAAGAGGTGCCACAAATCTTTGACTTGCAGCGTGAGCTGGTCTCTGATGTGGGAGTGGAAGATAAAGAACCATTGAAATAACATGTTGCATTTTGTTTTGGGGGAGGTACTGCAGAGGGGTATCTGCAGTGCTAGGGAGAATTTGAAGAGGTTTAAATCCCTTTATTGATCCATTTTGGTTGTTACTGCAGTAATGTTTCATTTTTCAGTAGGGGAAAGGGCCATTTGCTCTTTCAAGAGAACTCTGAAAATATAAAGGACGCTTTCTCTGCATCTTGTCGCCTGATGGTACCAGATGAACGTTTGAAAGTGAATCCTTCAGCCCAGCAAGTGCCAGTCCCCACCAGCAGTGACCCTGGAGCACCTGCAGGGACAGCCGTGCGGGTGCTGTCTTTGCACAACCCAGCTACCAAAGACCTGCTCTCAGGTTGGTGTGTGGTAGGCATAATCTTTTTGATTTCACAGTAAATGACTCTTGATAATATTTCAGCTGCTTCGTTGGAGATGAAGACTTAAGGAAAAGTGATACTTTGGATGTTTTCACTCTATTGTTTCAAACAGAAAGTGATAAAAAGATCTTTACTTAAAAACTGTGGGATTAGTCATGTTGGAAGGTGGTTTTGAGTATCCAGATCAGGCAAAACGTGCTATCTTAGCAGCACCCATGAGCTCTGACCTGGTAAAAGAAAAGGGAGCTCAGCTCCACAGGCTCTGTAATCATCGTTGACATGTTTGGGGATGTGGATAGTGGTGCCCTGGCAGTGCTGGGTTAAGGTTCGATGATGGTGAAAGTCTCTTCCAACCAGAACAATTCTGTGATTTCATGTCTTCTGAGATGGCTGTCAAAGGTGCCACTCACGTTGGAGGAGGCCCCGCGAGGGTTTCTGTGCCATTGGCATTTTCAGATAGAAGGTGATTTCCATTGTGATTAACATCCCTTTTAGAGGACAGACTGCTTGAACTGCATTCAACAGCCATCAAGGTAGAGCACATTTCCATACATGTTGTGTTTTTTCTATATACCAAAAAGACCTAAGACACCCTAAGATAACAAACCCCTCTTCCATAAATGAATTTTGCTCCTATATCTTAATAATGTCCCTCAAATGCCTGACTTGGTGTGTGCAGATGAGTTTTTGCACAGCTCTGAGGGAGACTGGTAGAGGATGAGGATGACTCTCCCTCCCTCCAAGCTGAGCTGTCTGGTTTATGGTGTACAGCACATGCTTCATCTCCAGCATGTCAAGATCTCTTTATACCAACAGAAAAGAAGTTTCTTGCTGTAGCTGGCACATTTTTGTGTTTACCCATCGCTTTTAAATTGTGTTTGAATGCCCAGATTTAATCCTTCTGCTTATTTCTCAGCTCTTCTGGATCAAGGCAATAAACTCCGGGATGCCATGGTTGTTTCTGCAATGAAATCTAGCCCAGACATGGAGATTGAACTGAATGAAGTGCCTCCTTTTATACAGAGAGACCATTTCAAATCACCAGCAAAGTAAGCTTGGGGAAGGGGGAACTCAAAAGTTCCAAACCATAAATTTTGAGTCCTTACCAAGAAAACTTGGAATAATTCATGTGATGTATTTCTCAAATGGAAATTGAATTTCTTCTTGTGAATGAAGGCCTAAATTTTGTCAACTGATTTTAATCAAAGCCTAAATTTTGTTAGTTGATTTTAATCATCATGTGGTGTAAGCGTTGATTTAAGTAATTTTAAGTAACTGATTTTTATTTTGTTTTACAGTATATTTGTATTTAGTGCAGAGTTATTTGATAAGGAGATTTTAAGTGTTGATAAGGAATAAAAGAGCGAGAAAGAACATAAAAATTAAATGGAGGACAGGTTTTCAAAGAAATATAAGTAATTGATGATGTAAATGGAGTATGTTTGCATTTTTGGGTGCCAAAATACCCATGAAAATCTGCTTCTATGGCTCTGTGACAGTAGTAGTCGTTGTCTTCTTCCATATGATCTTTCTTGGCAGATTGAAAAAAAAAAAATCAGTGTTTGTACCTTTTCAACTCCTGACTCCACTTTTGTTTATTAGTAGTAAATCTCCTCCTGTGAGTGAAATAGAAATTTAGAAGTATTAAGACAAATGCATATTTTTTTACAGGAGAAACTTTAATTCCTTATTTTGGGGAAAAAAAGATGAACAATGTCTTTTGTTGTACTATAAACCAGAAAATAACATCAGTGTCTTTGACAGTGAATGATGCTGTTGCAAATACAAAGTAAATTATTTCTGTTCAAGCTGTTTCAAAGTAGACAATTTTGGGCTCCCCAGGAAAAACTGACAGATCATTTATAAACATCTCACTTGTTTTTCTCAGGCCCTTTCTCCTCTTCTTTGCAGCAGCTGGAACTCCAAGATTGGGCCAACCTTTGTGGTTGGACTCAACGATCTACGGTTGGACTTGATGATCTTAAAGCTCTTTTCCAACCTAAATGATTCTGTGATTCATTGTAAATTATGAGAGTTTGGACTTTTTGTGACTTGCAGCACACTGTAGGGCTGCAGGAAGTTCTTGTGTATCTGGAGATGGAGCTAAGAAGTGGAGAAGATTGTACATAACTTTTGATTTTTATCCTTGATGGATTAATCCTGAACATACCTTAGTATCTTCTTTTTCATTTCCTTTTTACTACTGTCTGTGCTGAAATTGCTGTTATCCAGGAGCCCTAAAGGCTTGAACTCAAATTTTGTGCCCACTCCTGAGGATCCCCATCTCTTCACATCTGAAATTTCAGGTAACCCATTGGACCTCAACTCTGATGAGAGAGCAATACAGTTACTCTTGGGCAGGTGAGTGTAATGCTCTGAGGGTTGCTGCAAAATTGGCTTTTTTTGAGCACTTCACACTGAAAAATGCCTCTTACCTCTTCCAAGTTCTCCACAGCTCTGGCTATGTAACCAGTGAATCATATGTGCAAGTGGTGGAGGTGTTTTATCCCTCAGTTTTCATGTATGACAACCTGAATAGCTCCAAGTCCCTTGATGTAAAAGTGTTGGCGGAAAGATTAACTTGATAAAATGAAGTTATTAAATAACTTCATTTTAAGAGTTGTAATAATAGTTACATAGTTAAATAGTTATTGAATAGTTGTAACTGGCATGTCCTAAAACGTTAAGAAGTGCATAAAACAATGTTTCTTTGAAGAACTTAGAGTCTGTAAATAAAAAATAGAGAACTAATAGTTACTTATGTGTATAATAGTTTTTTAATTGTTCTTCAAATATTAAATTCACCTTTTTTGTCTCGTTTTGTGAGGACATTTTCTTGTCCTGTTGCTTGTTCCTTGGGAGCAGAGCCTGACTCCCACCTGGCTCCAGTCTCCTGTCAGGGAGCTGTGGAGAGCCAGAAGGTCTCCCCTGAGCCTCCTTTGCTCCAGGCTAAGATATCTTAAAGCATCCAAAAACTATAAAGTATTTATAAATATGTATTTTTGGTAGATATTAGTAGATACACTTTATGTTGAAGGTCACCAAGCCTTGGAACAGGTTGCCCAAAGAGGTTGTGAAATCTCCAGCTTTGGAGCTAACTAAAATCCAACCGGACAATTTCCTTACTTGCATCCTCTGTCTTTGAGCAGAGGTTGGACTGGATGAACTCCAGAGATCCCTTCCAGCCTCCACTGTTCTGTGATTCTATGGGTATCTATCCACATGTGCTTCTTTCACACTGGGGCCAGAGATGTTATCACAAGATAACCCATGAGATTGGGTCACAGATCTATAGTAGCTTGGGCCCAGTGCTGTGTAAGCCCAGTTTGGCTGTATCTGGAGACAAATCCAGTCCAGAATAACCAGTATGGGCAGAATTTATCAACACATTGACTGCAGAACTTGCAACACTAAGTTATGTTTCTTTCTCTTGTGTCCCCAGTGGTGATTTTTCTCCTGTGCCTTTCTGGGATCAGACAAGTTCCCTTCTGGATTCTCTGTCTCTTGGGAGTGAGGTGTATGACAGTGAGCTCAATGATCCCCATTATGACCAGAGTCTGCTGGAGAGTCTTTTTTACTCAGCTCCTGTAAGTGGGGATCAAAAAGACAGTGCTTAATATGTAATAAAAAAAAATCAGAAGTCTGCATAATAAAAGGCTGCAGATTTTAGTATTACTGAAGTTTAATAACCATTAAGTATCCTACAGAAGCTTATGAAAACATTGTTTAGAATTAATATTATTGAAAGAATACTATGAAGATGACAAAGTTTGGAAATGGTAGGTTAGAGGCTGTTCATGAAGACTTCTTTTTTTAAAGCCCTGAAAAAATTTGATACAATTTTAAGGGCTTTGAATTATTCAACCCACAAGTTGACTTTTCATCATGACAATGATAATTGTCAAGTAATTATTCTATTATTTGTTTCAGAAATCTGATTCCAGTTTAAGTGATTTCCTCAGCGATGATGATGTGAACTCCTCCAAAAAAGTGACCAAAAGAGAAGCTCTGAAGAAAGCTGACCCCATGATTCTGCAGGAGGATTCTGATAGCTTTGATCGGGGTCAGGTGACAAAAGTGAATCCCAGGTACACAGTTAGATTAGAGACTTGATTTGCAGCACCTTGCTCGTTAGAAGCTGGGATTAGCACCAGTCGTTATCACTGCATAACCATCTTGGTGGGGAATTTTCATAGCAGCTCTAGGAATGATGGGGCATCAGCCCAGGAATTGGCTGATGTTGTTAAAGGATCTGCTGAAATGTGAGTAGATAGAATTGCATCTCAGTAGTTAAAACTGCTCGAGGGGGTCTACAGGAGACCGTGAAGATGACCAGGGGGCTGGAACCTTACCTGTAGACATGTTGAGAGAGCTGGGGTTGTTCAGCCTGGAGAAGAAAAGGCTTTGAGGAAGCTTTCTTCCAGCCTTCCAATAGCTGAAGGGGCCTACAGGAAAGATGGGGAGGGACTTTATCAGGGTGTGTAGTGATTTCTTGGGTTCTGAGGGTTTTTTATTTTGTTTTGTTTTCAATTATGTACCCTAGATATTCTAAGATTTCTGTTACAGAGACTGCCAATTTTTGTTGCAAAAAATACATTTAAAATGTGCGTTTCGATGGACCATAAAGAAAGACATTGAGGTTCTGGAGAGTGGACAGGGAAGGGCAACGAAGCTGGGGAAGAGTCTAGAGCCCAAGTATGGTGAGGATCAGCTGAGGGAGCTGAGGGTGCTGAGCCTGGAGCAAAGGAGGCTCAGGGGAGACCTTCTGGCTCTCCACAGCTCCCTGACAGGAGGCTGGAGCCAGGTCGGGGTCGGGCCCTTCTCCCAAGGAACAAGGGACAGCACAAGAGGAAAGGGCCTCAGGTTGTCCCACGGGAGGTTGAGGTTGGTCCTGAGGAACAATTTGTTGCCCTTGAGGGTTGCCCAGGGCTGTGCCAGGCTGCCCAGGGCAGTGGTGGAGTCCCCATCCCTGGAGGGGTTTCCAAGCCATGGAGATGTGGTGCTGAGGGACATGGTTTAGTGGTGATGACCTGGCAGTACTGGGGGATGGTTGGACTTGATGATGTTTAAGGTCTTTTCCAACCAGTATGGTTCTAGGAACAGATTTTTAAATAATACCCCACCAAGCTACAGTTTTCCCTTTGTCTGTTCGTGTTAAGGATAGTCCTGTGGTTCTGATTCTCAGTTTTATATCTTCAGCTGCTCTCCTACAAGACTACTTGCTCCTTCAGAAGATCACAGAGAAACAGCTCATGTCACATCCTTGAGTGCAGACAGGTTGGCATTGCTGGAGCAAATACACCTGGCCAGAGTCATCATTGACAGCTTGAAAGTCCCTCCTGAGAGCATCCAGATTACACCAAGAAAGAAAGGCATAGGGGGGAAGCCTCCCCGGCCTGTTAAGTGGTAAGGGGGATTCTTCCTCACCAGTTTGTTGTTTGTGCCTTTGAGGTAGATTTACAGTTGAAGAATGGTGGGGTTGGAAGGGACCTCTAGGGGACCTTGAGCTCTTGCTCAGCCTTGATCAGATCCCCTCTGAGGCTTCTCTTCTCCAGCTCAGCAGCCCCAGGGCTCTCAGCCTGTCCTGGCACAGAGATGCTCCAGGCCCCTCAGCAGCTTTGCAGCCTCCACTGGACTCTCTCCAGTAGCTCCTGGTCTTTCTGGAACTGAGAAGCTCAGATCTGGACCAAATACTCCCAAGGTGGCCTCATTAGGACAGAGTACAGTGAGAGAAGATCCTCCCTTGACCTGCTGGCCACACTCTTCTTCATGCACCCCAGGAGATCTTTGGCCTTCTTCGACACAAGGGCCCATTACTGGCTCACAAGCAACTTGTTGTCTTCCAGCACTCCCAGGCCCTTCTCCTTGGAGCTGTTTTCCAGCAGGCCACCCCTCATCTGTCCTGGTGCAGGGGGTTATTACTCCCCATGTGTAGGACCCTATACTTGTCCTGGTTGAATATCATGAGGTTCCTCACCTCCCAGCATTCCAGCCTGTCCAGGTCTCTCTGACTGGCAGCTCAGCTCTGGTGTGTCAGTCACTCCTCCCAGTTTGGTACCATCAGCAAACTAGCTGAGGGTCCACTCATCCTGCATCCACGCCATTGATGAAGGTGTTGAATAAGACTGGACCCAGTCCTGACCCCTGGGGAACACCATGAGCTCCAGGCCTCCAATGGGACTCTATGCTGCTGATCACAACCCTGTGAGCTCTGTCCTTCAACCAGTTCTCCATCCACCTCATTGTCCACTCATTGAAGCCACACCTCCTGAGCTTCCCTAGGAGGATGTTATGTGAGATAGTGTCCAAAGCCTTGCTGAAATCAGGGAAGAGAGCACCCACTACTCTCCCCTCACTGACCCGGCTGGTCACACCATCATAGGTGGCTATCAGATTGATTTCTCTGAGGTCTGTTGTGTCATGCAGCTTACCCAAGCTCTCCAGGCTTCTGAGATCTTCTCATTTCTCTGCTCCTTTCAGGAAATTGTTTATTGTAGACTTCTGAAAGTTAGAGATGGGAAGAAGTGATCCTGACATGGGCTTATTTCAGGCTGGGGTTTTTCTGGGTTTTTGTGGAGGTACAAATGTGCTTTGGGTACAATAGGACAGGAAAAACAAAAGGGTTTTTTTTTGAGGAGAATTTGCTATATCTGAAATCTATGGAAGGAATGAATGAAATAAATAGTTCAATTAAGCTATAAAAAGAGAGTAACAAGAAATTGTGCAGGTGAAAATTGCCTGCTGTGTTCAGTTGCAGTTTCTGCATTAGATTTTTGATGGATTGTCATCATCTAGTCACTTTTCTTTGCAGTACCTTCTTTGTTGAGTACCACTTTCCTATGGGAGCCTCCAAGGATGACAAAGGACAGGTCTCCATGACAACAGAAGTAGTTCGGATAGCTTCAAGCAAAATCACAGATGATGGTAAGAACAGTATTTCACCCCTTGTCTTCAGTTTTGTTGACTACTTCATCTCTTAGGAATTGTTTAGTAGCATTTTCCACGTATTTTCTTTGCTGCCTGAAAAATATTGTGTGTTTATTGGTACCTCTACCAAGAGAGCAGCTGCAGGTAGTGGAATGGCCCTTGCGGGGAGAAGGAAGCCAATTATTTTGTTTTGCTTTACTTTTTGTGTTGCTTTACTTTTTGTGTTGCTTTACTTTTTGTGTTGCTTTACTTTTTGTGTTGCTTTACTTTTTGTGTTGCTTTACTTTTTGTGTTGCTTATTTTTTTTTTTCCCCCGAGAAATGCATATTGGGATTTTCACATTCCTTTTCGTAGGGGCATAATTAACAGGTCAATGACACCATTCCTTCATTTCAGCACAAACCCAACATCCTTTCTGCCATACTATGAGGATGATAATGTACTTTCACAAATCTCAGAGATAATTCTATCTCCACAAAATACTTTTTCCATGTGCTAAAGTACATCACAACTCACAAGTTGGGCCCCTCTTTCCAAGAAGGACGCTGAGGTTCTGGAGCGTGGCCAGAGCA